AGCTCAGAATCGCTGGGGATGGGGTTGGGGGTGGGTGCCTGTTTGAACTTCAGATTCCCAGGCCCATCCAGGTTGAAGGGCCCAGGATGACAGGCCCAGGCATTTGCATTTTTAGCGAGCTCTCAGGTGATTCTCATGCCTGATGATGCAGTATTACCCAAAGTGTGGTCCATAGTCAAGCAGCATCGGAGTGTGTTGGAAATGCAGATTTGGGGGCCCATCCCAAGCCTGATTCAGACATTGTGGGGGAGGGACCCAGCAGCCTGGCTTTTAACAGCCCAGCAGATGGTTGTTTTGCAGACTGAAGTGTGAGAAGCACCAATGGATCCCGAGAAGGCCACAGCCAGCTGTAATCAGGTGCACAGCTGTAGGTAGATGGGCCCAGCGAGGAAGGAAGGGGGGTGTTTGTACTGCAATGGCCCCAAGAGAGGCAGGACCAGAGACCAGAAGTTCCCCGGAGGCTGCTTTCTAAGAATTGGAGCAAACCTGAAAGAGGCCAGCTGCCTGCCCTCTGTCCCTGTTGTCAGATACCTGATCAGAGCTGACATAGGACGGGGATGTGCCCTGGCCTGTCAGAATCACGTCAGCAGTGTAAAGCATCCCACCCAGACACTGCTTTACTCTGTGAAAGGACAGAAGTAGGAAAACGGCATTGGAGAGACCAGAAGGTGGGATACTCGGGGATGCCAGAGAGAAAGCACGCTGCTAGATTGTAATGCACCATGTTCCTTTCTCTTGTGGACAGTGAGGCTGGACAGGCATTGGGAGGGGCAGGTGAGGGGCCCTGGAAGCCCTGCCCGACCTCCCCTCTGAGCCGGGATATGGCAGCCGCAGGATCCCAGGAATGACTTCACCAAGAATAATAGCAGGCCCTGGTTGTGGTTTCTTTTGAGAAGTGGAGGCCAGTTACCCAAAGACGGGACGATGACTAGATCTCTTAATTTTCAAAGGAAGAATGTGGATGTTGTGAGCCAGAGCTACATGGGGATTCCTGCAGCCTCCCATGAGGCATGATAGCTGGGCAGTCACTGAGAGCCAGGGTGGGTCACCCCAAGCTCTCTGGCTGGTTTGCTTTTCTCCTGGGGCTTCTTAGAAGTTAAACCAGAGGGCTGCGGGCATAGGAGATGTGTTAGAACCCTCATTTGATGGAGGCCCTCTTTATCCCACTGTGAACACTGTGGGGAAATACGTGCTGGGTCGTGGTGGAGTTAGGTGGCCAGATAGCCGGTTGAGTACCCGTACCCACTGTCATCAAGCTGGGGCGTGGTGAGCAGTGACAGTTCAGGAGTGTCCGTCCCTGTCCCTTTCTGTATTGGCGGATATAAAACAAAGCTAAGTGAGAGCCTGCTGAGATGTTTGATGTCTGTCAGAATCCCAGATGTCAGTAGAGTATAGCTCCGAGCAGAAGGTAAGAGAGAAATTTAACAGGAATCCACCTCAGGCCTCCACTGCGCAGAATACCCACGCCTTAGCAGTCGTGGGAGGTGGGAGGTTGGAGGGGGTGGTCCTGCCCTGTGCTTTCCAGACCACACCTGGGGCTTCTGGTTCTGAAGAGACTCAGAGAAGAGAAGGGAGTGGGTTACAGACTAAACTATTTAAGGCAGGAGGAAATGGTGGAGAAAATGAGTGTTCTTTCAGGAGGAGAAGACTGGAGGTCTCTTGGGGAGAGGGGAAGACCCAGGGATAAAGGCCTGCTCCTTGGACCTGGGGTTACACCTGGCCTGTGGGGCACTCCAGAGCAGAGCTCATTGCCAGGGGACACAGTCTGACTATTGCCAGAAACTCTGAAACCCATATGGGCATGAGCATCACCCTGGGAGCAGGCCGAGGCTGACCTGCGGTCCTACCCCAGGCGGGGAACACCCAGTTGCCGAGTCCCAAGGTATATTTATATAATAATGCTAACCCCAGGCCCAGAGCGGGGCTGCCTTGGACTGAATAGACCCTGTGTGAGTTATTCAAATCTTGGAAGAACAGCCACAGCTTCCAGTGAGCTCAGAAATCCCCACCTGAATTGGGCCTTTTTTAAAGTTGTTTTTTTTTATAGTCAATACATGCATGTGGCAAAAAAATGCAAATATATAAACAGTAAGTTCATTTCTTCCCCATTTTTTTTCTCTGAAGGCAATTAGTGTTACCCAGTTTCTTGTTTATTGTTCCAGGGATGTGTGCGTATATATAGACACATCACTAAGCTTGTATGTTTGTGTTTTCCTTTTTAAAAAATTAGCTTGGTATTATATCTTGATTAATAACGGTGACCATTTCATACCCCCATATATAGATAGAGCTGGCTAATTCTAAAAATAGCTAGAGTATCCATTGTATGGCTCTGTTGTTGTAACAAATAATGCTGCAGTCACTCACATCCATGTGTAGATATCATGTCACACAGGTGTAAATATATGTGAAATAGATTTCCAGAAGTCAAGTTTTTGGGTCAAAGAGGGTGTCTCTTTTTTTTTTAAAGATTTTATTAGGGAATTTGGGGACAGGAACAGCGTTGGGGAATCGGGAAAGGGGAACAGACAAGTTGCTGTCCTTTTGTTCTTCAGTCTAGTTGTGGAGGACGTCACTTCACTGGCCGATGTTGGTATTATTGCGCTCTTCCTGGGTGAGGCAGTCGCTCACTGGCCTCTGGACGGCCGCCCACGGCGGTCATGGCAGCTCACAAAAGCACACACCAGCTGCCAGCTAGCCCCACTGCAGCCTACGCCATTGCTGGTGACTCACAGCAGCCCAGCTCCATGTCGAGCTGTTGTTCACCATCTTAGCTGTAGAGGGCGCAGCGTCACTAGCCCTCATGTGGGATCCGAACCGGGGCTGCTCAGAGCTGGTGTCCCAAGCCAACTCCTAACCAATGCACCACTTGGCCAGCCTGACATCTCGGTATTTTTAGTTGGCAATTCTCAGCATATTAATGAGTATGGACATCTTTAATCTTCAGTTCTTTTTCTGTAATTGACATTCACATCATTTGAGTTTCTCTAGTCATTACTGGTCTTTTTTTTATTGTAAAATATTTTTCCTAAGTTTGTCATTTCTCTTGCCTTTATGTTGTTTTTCGTATTTGTTTCTTATCATGCAAAAGTTTAATTTTATGTGTTTGGGGTTCGGGGCCACCACGTCTTACATTTGAATCTTTGGCCTGAGTGAAATTTATTTTGGGGTGTGGAACAGGGAAGCATCCAGCTTTTGCTTTGTTTTGGGTTTTCTCCCCACCTAGCTGTGGGGAAATGAGAAGTGGAGGGGGCACTTTTGGTGCCCAAAGCTTCTGCGTAGTGGCGATCTCCAGAAAGCATGGTAGGTGGCAGGAACACAGCTGCAGCTCACTTGCTCTCTCACAGGGGGACTTCCGGTTTCCCCCTGTCAGAAGGTTTCTGGTCCGTCCATCATTCAGATCCCAAGGGTATGAACCAAGGGGATGAGGGTTCTGGCCAAAGGGTCAGGCCCGGGGCAGGACCTGGAGGGTTTTGTGCTGAAACCCCACCAGCCACAGGGAATTGAGTCAGCCTGAGGCCAGCACCACTGGAGTCTCAGCCTTCACACCACAGTGTGCAAGGGAAAGGGTCTTTTGCCCACCCGCAGGTAGCCAGTTCTAGCTCTTTCCAAGGTTGCTTGGCCATAGTCTGGCCCCCCATGGCTTTGCCTACAGTCACCTCTGGGCCCACTGACCAAAACAAATGACCTCGCCCATTGGGCTGAGAACCAGGCCCACCCTGTGGGAACTGGTAGCACCTTAAGGAAGTCTTTCAGTCTCTTGAAAACAGCATGCCCTCTTCTCAGATGTAGCTAAGAAGGGCAACTTGAATTTTGTAGGTGGATAGCAGCCTGTTGAGCAGTGTTTCTCAAAGTGTAGCCCCAGGACCAGCAGCATCACCTGGGAACATGTTAAACATGCAAATTCTGGTTCTACAAACCCTGCGGGTGGAGCCCACCATTATATCTAACAAGCCCTCTAAGTGGTTCTGGTATACTGCAGTTTGAGAACCAGTGGTCATTGCAGGCTTGGAGCCCAGGCGTCCAAGGAGTGTCTTACCTGGGGCCAGCAGATGTGATTGTTAAGTTAAGGGCACCTACGGGTTTCCTCACACACCCTAACCTGTCATTGGTTACCTCTGCAAACTGCAGCAGCCACTGATTAGCAAGAATAGGCAGGTTGCATGAGAGTGTCTGGGAGGCTGGTGTCACCTCGGATCTGTGTCCCTCCTGGGCAATTTAATTGTCATGGGACACAGCAGAAAGATCTGTATACAAAGATGCTTTGCGAGAGCAACCCTGCGTTCCAGACCTTTCTCCTTCCCTTACTACGGAAATGCACCTCATGTCCCCTTTCTGAGCTCCAACTGCCTCTTAGAAGCAAGATGGTGCTGCCTCCCTTGGCTGACTCCAGAACCTGAATCAGATGAGCCCTCCTGAGGTCCCTTCTTGTTTCGGGGAACAGTGATTCTATATCAGGGTCCCTTGCCGGATGAGCCAGAGGTTGGGGAATGAAAAGTGTACCCTGGGGCTGATCCAGTCTGGGGGCTGCTGCAGGAGCTTGGAGTCTGCAGGTTGGGTGCAGGGAGATGGTCCCCTGTTGGATGGATGGTGATAAGGACACTGGAAGATAAGACAAACAGACCTGAACCCCTGAGAATGAAGCAGTGCGTGCTTTCCTGAGGCAAGAGAACAGCTCTGCACACAAGCAGCCCTCCTGTCAGAAGAGGTGGGAGGGAAGCTTGGGTGAAAGGGGTTTTCGAGGTAACCCACTGCTCATGGGTGGTGAATCCTATAGTGGTGGGTGTGGATGTGAGTCTGGCCCTGCAGACAAGCCGGCCCCAGTTGCTATTTCTAGCTGGAGACCCTGGCAGGTAGAGGGTAAACTGGTTGCCACAGTCCAGCCTGATGCAACTTCTGCAGGGGCCTGGCTTGTGGGTGTTACTGTTTTCCCAAGAAGCTGCTGGTAAGGCTGGTGGGAGCTCCTGGCAGAGCCTGAGCTGCATTCCTCTGTCTTACAGATCTCACCATGAGCTACCCAGGCTACCCCCCGCCCTCAGGCAACTACCCACCAGCTGCACCAGGTAAGAGGGTCTGGGGGGCAGGGCAGGGGATGCCCTCTCTGCTCTGTGTCCAGGTGTGGCAAGGAAGAGTAAAAGAGTGCTTTCCAGTCATTTCCTCATTCCCATCTCCAACAGTGCTGCGGCGGGGCGGAGGGGGCTGGAGGAGAGCATGGATCCTAAGGCCTGGAGAGGCCTGGGTTTGAAGCTGCCTCTGGATCTGGAAGGCCAGGGCTATGTCTCTGACTTACTAGCTGACAGCAGTGGGCAAATGCTTTCTCTTCTCTGGCTCAGTTTTCTCCTTTACAAATGGCTTTGTGGATCATTTCCTCTCTGAGCTGTCCTGGATACTAAGGTAGCCAGGTAAAGCGTCTGGCACGGTGTCCTCGAAGCACTGTAGGTGACTTGTCACTTCTACCCTGCGCTCAGGGTGCATGGTTTTGCAACGGCTGGGTCTTCCTGCCGAGGGAGGAAGTGGAGGCAGTCACTAAGGGTCAAATGTTCCTGCTGTGACTACCTGCTGTGACTATGGGCTGATAGCACTAGGCTGCACCAGCTGGTGAGGTGATCAGAGCCTGGCCCCAGCCACAGTGCTGCTCTGCAATCTTAGAAGTCATCTTCTCTGGCCTTGGCTCTTCCTGGCTTCCTGAACTGAGATTTGATCCCCACAGTAGGAGAAGAAACATGAGGGATTCTGGGACAAGGGGCAGAGAAGAGACAATTGCAGGCTGGTCATCCTGAGGTTGCCTGAGCTGTGCTGCCCCTTGCCCCACGAGACCCCTGGGCATATTCATTTCCCTAGAGCTGAGGTCCTCGGGTCTGGGCACCAAGGACTCTGCAGGCCATTTGGACCCACCTTTTCATTCAACAACTGAAGGACAGGCCCGGAGCTGGGAGGCAGCTCAACGTCTGTCTCATGGCTTATCAGGGGCTGAGCTGGGCCATTTTGCTCTGAACAAGCCCTAGCCCAGCCCTGCCAGCACTGGCCTTAGTCCCTTCTCTCTGGCAGCATCCTACCATCTATATCCTACCGTTGCCACCTCTGTCAGCACCTGAGCAGCAAGAGAGGGAGCAGGCAGGTGATTCCAGGAGGACTTTGTCCTGAGTGTCTTGAAGCCCTGGAGCTGAAAAGCCAAACTCGTGGCCTCCAGGGCCTTTTTGCTGCTGAGAACAGAAATGCACCTAACAGGCCAGCATAGTGACCGATGATACTAGCTGTATGCTGCTTGTCACAGTGACAGCTGTAACACAGGAGCTTATCGGCCACCTAGTTAAGCCCTGCATAGGCATTACCTCTCTTACGTCCTCAGCACAGCAATTTGAGGCAAACACTAATTATTATCTCCACTTGTCAGCAGAGGAAACAAAATTAGAGTGGTGAGTGCCTTGCACCAGGGCACACCCTGGTTCTACTGGCTTCAGAGTTGGGGCTTTTCACTGCTGTTCCCCCTTTGATCCCCTTATAAGGACGATATGTTTTCTGTGACCCAGCGCATCTCCCTCTTTCTTCCCATCCTGCTTCTTTCTGCCTCTTACACAGCTGTGATAGCAAACAGACACCCCGCCGTGCTTTTGCATCTCCCTGGATTCTCAGTGCTCCCCGAGTTCATTGCTGTCATGGGCTCAGCACAGTGCCCTAAAATGACCTGCCCCTGTGTATGCACTCCCGCTCCACAACGGTGAGCCCAGGAGGGCTGGTCTGCCCTTGGCCCTGCTGCCTTCTCAGTACCCCACAAAGGGTCTTGGGAGTGTTTGCTGAAGGCCCCCCCTTCTCTTCCCCTGGCAACAGGACTGGGTTAGGCTTTCTTGCCTGGGTGTTTTCCATGTGGTCTGCAGTGCTGCCCCCGAGGCCCTGCTTGACCTCCCCTCCTGACCACCTGCAAGCTTGCTGTCTCTGCCTTTTCCTGTTGCGGGAAGCGGGGGCAACTGAGGGCTAACGGCTTGGTGTTGCTTTCAGGTGGTGGTACCTGGGGAGGTGCTGGCTACCCCCCGCCCAACATGCCCCCCATTGGGCTGGATAACGTGGCCAACTACGCAGGGCAGTTCAACCAGGACTACCTCTCGGGAATGGTGAGTCCAGCCCTCCTGCTGGGCTGCCCCTGGGCCCACTCCTGCATGGCCAGAGGGTTTAAAGGCTGCTGGGGGTCAGCCATCTGTGTGTGTGTTACCTGTGAGTGCTGAGTGTGTTGAGGGGCACTTAGGTTATAGGGGTTTTCCTCAGGGCTCTCACTTGTTCACTGTCTCTCTCTGTGTCTTGATGTGCCCAGCTGTAAAATCAGGGAGAGGACTGCATTGGGTCGCGTGGCCTCTCAGGTCCCTTTCAGCTCTGGGGGATTGGAAGGGATGGTGCCTACACGGAATGTGTACTGAGCGCCTTCTGTATGGGATCAGCAGGGAGGTGGGAGTGGGGATGTGCATGTGCATGTGCGTGCACCGCGTATAAGTGTCCGTGTGCGTGTCTGTATTTGTGTATGTGTGTACAGATGGATAGTTAGTCTGGTTGGGTCTGGGAGTGGGTGCCTGGTACCATGGACAGGCAATGCTACTTTTGTTGATTTGCTTTTAAAATAGTATTATTTTGTAATCTGAAAACAAATGTATGCTTAATGTAAACAGTGCAGCCAGTAGGCAGTCTGATTGTTCCAGACCCATTCTGGGCACTGGAATATGTGAGCAAGACAAACCCCAGTCTCATCCCTCGAGTACTTATCCCCACTGGGAAGAGACAGGCAGTCGCCATAAGTAAACCGTGTGGTGTTAGAGCAAGTGTGTGGGCTTTGGGCACAAGAGCAGGTTAGGGGCTCAGCAGTATGAGTGGAGGGCACGTGGGACAGTGTCAAGGTGCCCACACTCTGCCTGAGCTCTGAGTGCAGGTCCTGGGAGCCCGCTGCAGCGCTCAGGGCAGGGAGCGAAGAAGGGAAAGGCTCCCTCTCCTCTTCCTCTGGCAGCGGGATTGGGTTAGACTTCCCTGCCTGGGTGTTTCCCTTTCTGTCCCTGGGGCCCTACTTGGCCTCCTCATTAGTCTTAGGCTCTGCTTTTTGGACTTTCAGGCGGCCAACATGTCCGGGACGTTCGGAGGAGCCAACATGCCAAACTTGTACCCTGGGGCCCCAGGGGCCGGTTACCCTTCAATCCCCCCTGGGGGTTTTGGGCAGCCCCCTTCCACCCAGCAGCCTGTTCCTCCATATGGAATGTACCCGCCTCCTGGCGGAAACCCACCCTCTGGAATGCCTTCATACTCACCGTACCCAGGGGCCCCTGTGCCAGGCCAGCCCATGCCACCTCCTGGACAGCAGCCCCCAGGGGTCTACCCTGGGCAGCCACCAATGACCTACCCTGGGCAGCCCTCAATGCCACCTCCTGGGCAGCAGCAACAGCCGGTGCCAAGTTACCCAGGATATCAAGCGTCCGGGACCGTCACCCCCGCTGTGGCCCCATCCCAGGTGAGTGCCAGCCCTGCAGTACCCTCAGTCCTGGACCCACCCCAAAGGCCCACAACATGTGACCCAGTGTCCTCTGTCATCAAGGTCAGGGAAGGTGTGGGGGACAGAGCAGGGCTCAGTCCTCCAGCCATAACTTCTTGGTTTAACAGCGTCACTTTCTCACAGACTCCCCCGCCCTGGTTTGTATCCCTGGAGACCTAGGGAGCTGCCCTGTCTCCCAGTTCGGCTAGATGCTCCGTGTGCGAGCTGGGTCTGAGTGTTCCGGGGTGTTCTTCTTTCCACTGTGTTATTTACTGCCTTGGTCTCTGTTTTGTAAGAACTGCTCAGGCCACTGGGCTCAAGGCTTCTTGCCCAATTGCTCTCAGGCTTCAACCCCTGGATGCGCCCTCCTAGGCTGGCTGTAGCGGATTTGTAAAACCTCCTTTGGGTAGAGAAGATTGTTCACAGTTCCCTCAGTGTTGCTCTTGGCTTATTTTGGAGAGCAGTTCATGTTTGCAGAGCCTAGAATTCATTGTCATGGTTACATGGCCAAGCCAGACAAGCACAGGGCTAGTGGTATGTGCTTGATGACTATTTTTAGATGGAGGGGGTCCCCTCTCCTCCCTGCCCGCACCCCTGCCCTGCTCTCCCCCCTCCCTCCCTGCCTTCCATCTCATCTTCTCTGAGCTTATCTCGTGAACCCTGTTAAAATCACTTTGTATTAGCCCCAGATGATAATCCACCAGGAGACTGGTTAGGCAGGAAAATTCAAGTTTGCTGAGGAGCACAGCTGTCAGTGTCAGGAAGAAGTGAGGCCAGCAAACAGGTTGCAGAGTCTAGAAAGCAGTGCCAAGAAACGTGCTGGTCTAGAAGGTAGTCCGGCTGCATTTACCATCATGAAAGTGGGACTCCTTCATCCCCCAGCGGGAGCACCTTTTTCTGATTTGCACCATGGTGCTCTGTGGACTAGCCAGGCACTGATAGCACTTGATGAGCTCACATGTGCTATTGTGGTGAGGCATTGAAGAGAAGCCTGTGACCCTGGCATCTGCAGCCTCCCTTCAGCAGGAACCTGGGACAGCCCTGGAAGACCTGGGCATAGGGCAGATTTCCAGCATCAGGACTCAGCTGTAGGTGGGCTCCTAGGCAGGGGAGCCAGGCAGAAGCTTCAGTGCTAGGACACCAGGACAGGTAGCGGTCACGTTAGAGCCCCTCAATGTCGAGTCCTCTGTGCTGATGATTGCGAACTCCTTCAGGTACCCCGGCTTTTAGAGCAAAGGTTATTCCCAGAACCTGGGGTGGAACAGTCTCACATCTGGGAGATGCGGCATCTTACCTAGTCTGTTTGTCCAAGCAGTTTGGAACACGAGGCACCATCACAGATGCTCCTGGCTTTGACCCCTTGCGAGATGCTGAGGTCCTGCGGAAGGCCATGAAAGGCTTTGGTGAGAGTCCCTGGTAGCTCAAATGCTCACCCTCCC